GATGAATAAATAGTTGGAGGAGAGAAATCGGAGATATAAAAGAATCTCCTAGAACTGTAGAGACAAACTTAAATCCACTTTTGAAATGCATTTGATCCTTCCGGGAGGGACAAAAAGCAACTATGAAGAGAGAATAAGTAAGAATAGAGGTGAATTTAAAGACATATATCACATAATATTATGATGCTAGGAGCAAAATGGGATAGATACTCCCGCCCGAAAGGTGGAATTGAACCACTCTGTCGCTAAACAGCTACAGGTTTGAAGCCTGCACCCCAGACCACTGAGGATCATCCGGGCAGAAGCAGCTATTTTCGGAAAGGTATATAAAGGGCCAATATCAAAAATCTTTTGACTTATGGTCATTATTTTTTGTGTCGTTGGACAAAATAAATTATAACGTTTCTGATATTTTCAACTTTATCGTGAATATATGGTTTCTTTTTCTTTACAACATATGATATAAATAGCTCTTATTAACTAAATATGAGTAGCATCATTTGCATAGCGCCTTGCATTCTGGGAAGCAGCGCCTAAAGCGCTTACCTCCCTGGTCGTACAGGAAAAGCATTTTTTGCGAAGTGAAAAGTCAGTTTTATTTTTTTGTTTGTTTTGTTTTGTTTTGTTTTTAAAACTCGTGCGGCACTTGGAAGCCTCTTCGTGGCAGAATTTTTCACGTTTTTCTGAGAGGGAGACGCGAGCTTCTCGTAGGGTTTGACGGCGGGTGGCCACACGGCGACATCTGCTGTTGCTTTGTGGAACTGCACACATAAACGGAACCCTGTTAATCCGGCGTCCGCTGTGAGCTCCAGGCACTGAACCTAGGTGATGAGGTGGACAACCCAACTGGTCCTCCTCGCGGTTGGATGCTGGAGACCATCCCTTTCTAAACCTGTATGTTTGGGCCAGGGAAACGGAGGCACAAACATGGACAGTATCATAGCCCCGTTCTTAGCACCCAACTCCCTAGGAGAAATGAATCCTACATCATCATAATTACGATATTCTTAATAACACTAGCTTTTCTGATTCCTTGAGACAGTCTCTTTTCTTTCTTTTGTTCTTTTCTTCTTTCTTTCTCCTCTTTCTTTCTTTCTTTCTTTCTTTCTTTCTTTCTTTCTTTCTTTCTTTCCTTGAACAGGGTCTCACTGTGTAACCCTGGCTGGCCTGGAATTCACTATGTAGCCCAGGCTTGCCTGAACTTTGAAGCTATGGAATTGCCTCAGCCTCCCGAGTACAGGGATTGTCACAGGCGTGAGTCACACGCGCAATTTGACTTCCATCTCAGATGATAGAACACTGAGTTCTCTAACTGCTTCGTAGAGCCCTATAATCTAATTACCCCATAAACAGCCCCCACACAACCCTCCTAGAACTGATTTGAGGGATGCAGCAGACTCGCCGCACGACCCTCCTCGGCGTCTTTGTAATGCTGATTCCCTCGGCTCGGTTGTCTTTCCTCCCGGTGTCCACAAAGCCTCCTTTCCACCCTGGTCTCAAACCTAGTAAGACCTCCCGCACCTGACCCTGATTTGAATGGTAATAATTTGTGTGTGTGTGTGTGTCTCTCCCCCCCCCCTCTCTCTCTCACTCCTGCCACACGCAACCAAGTCACCACGTGATTAAATGAATAGATGATGTCACCATCTTTCTCTGAGCCTCAGTTTCCCCACCAGCATAATGTGTTTGAGATACTCAAGTCCCTACAGCAGTGGTTCTCGACCTTCCTAAAACTGCAACCCTTTGGTACAGTTCCTCATGTTGTAGTGACCCCCAGCCATAAAATTCTTTTCTTTGCTTCTTCATAACTGTAGTCTTTCCACTGTGATAATGTAATGTAATGTAAATATCTATGTTTTCCGATGGCGTTAAGCGACTCCTGGGAAACCTTTCGATTCCCAGAGGAGTCGCGACCCACGGGTTGAGAACCGCTGTCCTAGCGCCAGGACAGGGAACCTACGAAGACGTCGCTAGGGGGCGCTCAATGACGGCTACTTCAATTCTGAAGCTGCGCTAGGTCGAGGTGCAGTGATAAGCCTGGGGCTTTAGCTTTTCTTGATCTATTAATTACTAGGACTTTCTCACCTCTCCATATTTTGCTATGAACATTACGTCTTAGGAAATATGTGAACGAATGCATCTTTATAAAGCTTTGCTGAAACACTGTAGCCACCAGGCGGTGGTGGCACATACTTTTAGTCCCAGCTCTTGGGAGGCAGAAGCAGGTGGATCTCTGTGAGTTCGAGGCCAGCCTATTCTACAAAGCGAGTTTCAGGACGGGCTCTCCAAAGCTACAACAGAGAATCCCTGTCTCAAAAAACTAAAAAAAATAAAAATGAAAAGTATGTATATAGTAGAAGGTATTTATATATTTGTTTTTTTTTTTTTTTTGTCCCCCTCATACTCATACAGACGCCTGCCTCTGCGTCCTGAGTGCCGGGATTACAGGAGTGCGCCACCACGGTCTGGCGTATTTATTCTTGTCGGTGCATAAGGGCGACCTGCAGAGTCAGCTCCCTACCTCCACCATGTGGGTTGAAGAGATCACCTTTACCCACTTGTTCACCTCTCCATTTTTGAGAGCATGTACATGTATGTAGTACTAGGATGTGACCTATGCAAGTGCCCTGTGGGGGGGAAAGGGGCTCAGAGGTTAAGAGCACTGGCTGCTCTTTCAGAGGACCCCAGGATCGATTCCGAGCTTTCACGTGGCAGCTCACATCTGTCTGTAACTCCAGTTCCAGGGGACCTGACACCCTCACACAGACACACATGCCATCAAAACACCAGTGCACATAAAAACAAAACAGACAAACTAAACAAGGCAACCGTAAATTAAATTTAAAAAGTAGCACGACTTGACTAGAGATATAGAAATTGCTGTTTTGGTGTTTTTAGTGTGTGTGTGTGTGTGTGTGTGTGTGTGTGCCCCCACATAGCCCTGGCTGGTCTAAAACTCACTACCTAGACCAGACTAGGCCTCTGAAAGAGATTTGCCTACTTCTGCCTCCTGGATGCAGAGGGCAACTTTAGGGTGTGGGTTCTCTCTTTGCATCTTGTGGATGCCAGGGATTGAACTCAGGTCATCAGGCTTGGCGGCAAACGCCTTTAAACCCTGAGCCATCTCCCAGCCTCTCTGTGGTTTTTTTTTTTGGGGGGGGGAGGGTGTTCAGGACAGGGTTTTTCTGTTTAACAGCTCTACCTGGCCTGGAACTTGCTTTATAGACCAGGCTGGCCTTGAACTCACAAAGATCCACCTGCCTCTGCCTCCCGAGTGCTGTGATTAAAGATGTGCGCCACCACCGCCCACTGCCTCTCTGTTGTCGTAGCTAGCTGCTGCACTGCACTGCAGAGACACTGCAAACCCTGTGTCTGTAACTCCTCATTGGCACCTCTGTCTCTGTCTCCACAATGACATGCACAGCAAGAGGAAAGCGATACGGTGATGAACAAGCAAGTCTAAACATTTTTGTGTTTGTCTTTACTGTAAGCTATTTCTGACAAGCAACACTGGCTTGCTTCCAAGGTGGCAAGTAGCATTTCCTTCATAAAAGGTATTTTTCTGTTTTATGCCACTTGTTTATGACGCTGAAGATGGAACTCAGGGCCCTCTGCAAGCTAAGTTAGGGCTCTACCACTGAGCCTCACCCCAGCCCCTCACTGGGGGATTCTACCACTGAGTTGCATACCTAGCCTTTATTTTTTTTTAATTTCCTTTTTATTGTATGTGCATTGGTGTTCTGCCTGCATGTATGCTTGTTTGAGGATGTCAGGTCCCCTAGAACTGGAGTTACAGATAGCTGTGCGTCACCGTGTGGGTGACAGGAATTTAACCTGGGTCCTCTGAAAGCAGCCAGTGCTCTTAGCCACTGAGCCATCTCTCCAGTCCCACCTTTAATCTTTTGAGACAGTCTCGCTATAGCTCCATTTGGCTTTGAATTTTGTAGCTGACCTGGAACTCTGCCTAGGGATTACATATATGTGCCATCATGTCTGACTGTCCATTGGGCATTTCTGTGCCAGGCAGTGATGGGTATTAAACGCGGGACCTTATATATACTAGACAAATGGTCTTCACCTTAGCATGAGCCATTAGTATAAAGATCTCACAAGGGAATGACTGTCGTTTGGGAAACAGTATTGTTATCGTAACTAACCATAGAAATTTCTGCCAGGTCGCACTTGGAAAATATACTTATTGTTATTATGTGCATGCGTGTACATGACAACATCAGTGTGGAAACCAGAGGACGGATTATGGAGACAGTTGTCTTTCAGTCTTTCCTGTTATTTTCTGTGATGCCTGCATGTGCGGCTGTGCTCCATTAGTGTGCAGTGCCTGAAGAGGCCACAAGAGGGCATCAGATCCCCTGAGACTGGAGTTAAAGGTGACCGTGAGCCACTGTGTGAGAGCTGGGAAACCCTGGATTTCTGGAAGGGCAACTGGTGCTCCTAACTTATGTGCAGCCCCTCATTTCTCTACCTTTATGTACCTTCCCCAGGTTCAGCTCATACCACCACGCCTGTGCAGCAAGAACCAGCTGAGCTCTCTCATTGATCTTAAAGCTTTTACCTTTTCTTTTTTGAGGCAGGGTATGATGATTATAGATTATAGGCAGGGTCTGATGATAGTCCAGGTTGACCTTAAACTCACAGGAGTCCACCTACCTCCGTCGTTTGGCTTTCTTTCTTTTTTTAAATATTTATTTATTAATTTGAATGCATATGCGAGGGTGTACAAGAACTACTTGAAGGGGTTATTTCTCATTGTTCACAGTGTGGTTCCCAGAAATGAAACTTGGGCGATCAGCATGGAGGTAGGTACTTCTCATCAGCCACAATAATTCATTTTCTAACTTTTATTTGGAAATCATTAAAGTGACACTTTCATGTTTGTTGTGGGTCAGCGCAGATACGCAATGGAGCACATATGAAAGACGATGAGGGTCAATTCTTTTTCTACCGTGGTGGATTCAGATGATCCGATTCAGACCTTCACGGCCTTTCCCAGGTGAGCCATCTTACAGCCCCCAGCCATTCGTTGTGTTGTTGCTTGTTTTAAGGCAGGATCTCTCTATATAGTCCTGGCTGTCCCGAAACTCATTGTGTGGACCAGGCTGGTCTCAAACTCCAAGATTCACCCACCTCTGACTCCCCAATGCTGGGATTTAAGGATTGCGCTACCACTAGGTTTTTTGTTTGTTTTAATGCTTTTCAGTGTAGGAAGGTGTAAGTGGAGGGGCCTTAAAGCACAGAAGGCTGTGGATTTTCCACAGGAGTCTTTATTACTGTGTAAATCCAAGCTCAGGGCTCCTCTGGGCCCCATGCAAAGCCCCAGCTTAGGGGTTAGTGGCCTCAGAGACACCAATCCCTCACGGCGCCTCCAGCGATGGGTCATGGAAATGCAGACCAGCGTCCGACTACGCGACTACAAGTCCCAGCAGGCTCCGCGGCTAAGGAGCCTAGCCGTTCCTGGACTCTCAGAGCAGAGCTTCTTAGGAAATGTAGTCCCAGTCGTTCCGGCACTTCCCACTGGGAAATGGCTTGGCGGAGTGGGCGAGGGTGTGGATGCACGGGAAGTGAAGGGGAAATGGGCTGCTGGGGTGTAGGCAGGCGTCCCTCGGGCAGAGACACCCCTCTCATTCGGCTTTGGCTTTGGATCCGGAGACTGCAGATGCTGCTGGGGTTCCGGTCCCAGGGATTTTAGCTCGGATCCTAGGGAGCATAATTAGGGGCCATGAGGTGTGACAAGAGATGGAGGAGGTGCAGAAGATTAGCTAGCCCCTATCCTCAGCCTGATGAACGGCTTTGAGGAAGAGATAATGTGCCCAGGAAGATTTGGGGAAGTGTAACGGGGCAGGGACAGGGAGAAAGAAAGGAAGAAAAAGAAAAACCCACAAACAACAACAAATATCCCACGCTCCACCACCCTCCTTGTCATCATCTCATGAACTTACTTAGCTTTGATGTGGCTCAGCTGATTGGTCACCAGCCCCACATACTGGTCAATCTGGGCCTGGGGAAACCGAAAAGGCAAGGGGTTATGGGTAACTGATGTAGGATTCTGCCTTCAGCTCACATAGCCAAATCAGAAGAGGGTTTGGGGCCCATCGGTCCCGTTTCAGCTGTGAGAATCATAACTGGCCTTCCTGCCTTTGCTGTTTTGAGATGATCTCATGTAGCTCAGGCTGGCCTTGAACTTCCGGTCTTTCCGTTTCTAGCTCCCACGTGTTTGGATTAGAGGTGTGCAAGACCACTCCTGGTTTTATACACTACTAGGGATCAAGGAGGACTCTACTAACTGAGTTAAATCCTCAGCCTGCATCTGCTCTTCAGACAGGGCTTTGCTACCTAGCCCTAACTAGCCTTGAACATACAGGGATCCTCCTGCCTCAGCCTCCTGGGTTCTCAGATTGTTTACTGTTTTGGTGGCCCTGGTATTGAATGCACGGCCTTCTACTGTCTAAACCAGTGGTTCTCAGCCTTCCTAATGCTGCAGTCCTTGAGTACAGTTCCTTAGGGTGTGGTGACCCCCAACCATAAAACTTCTTTTGTTGCTACTTCTTAACTGTAATTTTACTACTGATATGAATCATAATGTAGATATGTGTTTTCCCAATGGTCTCAGGCCACCCCTGTGAACGGGTCCTTCAACTTCCCAAAGGGTTCCGACCCACACACTGAGAGCCAAAGGTCTAGACTTCTGCATTCGAGGTGTTTTACCTCCCTTCCTTGAGCCATGCCCCCAGCCCCTCACTGGTGGAGTCTAAGCAACTGGTGGCAGCAGGGCTCCCGAGTCTGCCGGGGACTTGTCTGTGGGGTCCTAGCTCTAGAAGGGAGGCAGTCACACTAGCCATTTTTGACTTCCATATCGACAATGGAGAGTTTGCCACACTCACCTGGTGCTGTCTGTACAGAAGGGGGATGGTGAACAATGCGACCACTCCTATAAAGAAGGGGGGAGGTCAGGTTTTCCTAGCAGAGAGGGACCGGTCCACGCGGAACTCCATCCCTCCCCCATCCGACCTCAGCAAGCCCCTTCCCAGCTCACCGAGGATGACAAGAGTCAAGCCGTTGAAGATGGCTCCCACGAAGGTCAGGATATAGAAGAGAAGGGCCAGCTGTGGGGTGAGGGTCAGTGTCAGAGAGACCTACAGGCTGTGAACCCTGCTCCCCACCGTGGGCACGGAGGAGAGGGGTGGGAATACAGAAGCAGTCTTGGGGGGGCTGATGTGGGATGTCCTTCTGCACACTACAAATATGTGTTGCTTCTATTGGTTGATGAACAAAGCAGTTTTGGCCTATGGCTTGGCAGAACATAGCTAGGCAGGAAAGCCAAGCTGAATACAGGGAGAAAGAAGGCGGAGTCAAGAGATGCTAGCAGCTGCCAGAGGAGCCAAATGCCAGAGCATTCCCAGTAAGCCACAGGCCACATGGCGATGCACAGATTGATAGAAGTGGGTTAATTTAAGTGTAAGAGGCTAGCCAGTAATAAGCCTGAGCTATCAGCCAAACAATTATAGCTAATATTAAGCCTCTGAGTGATTTTTTTTTTTTTTTTTT